CCTGTTGAAATTGCCCCCGTTTGTGTATGTATGAATGTGAGTTAGGAACCTGAGATTTTAAGCTCCTTAAGGGTTAGGGACTGATGTGAATGTACAATATATATGTAAAGCGCTGCGTAAATTGACAGCGCTATATAAGTAGCTGAAATGAATAAATATAGCACATTTTCATAATATGCCTGTACACCATACGAGCGTTTACGATAGTATTATTATTATTATTATACTGTATTTATATAGCGCCAAAGGGTTTGCTCAGCGCTGTACAATAGCAAGGGGGACAGAACATGAGACAAGACAGTAACAATACAATACACGAGGGGTTCGGGGGCCCTGCTCTTTCGAACTTACAATCTAGGAGACCAGCATATACCCAAGTCTAGCGGTGTACAACCATTCATATCACTGGGCAGCTGTACCCCAGGGCTTCCCAGGAGGGGGAATTACACCACAGTTTTGTGTTGAATGGGCTCATGGTAAACAAGTGCAAGAGTTCAGATTCTAAGGAACTGTTACAACAATTTTTTTAGCAAGCACAAATACCCCTTGAATCCAACCCTAGCAATACAATGAGACCAGTGGATTTTCCCATTTTATGTATCCTCATTACTTGTACCCGTATGACTCTATTAAATACGCCAGCAGCACTGTAGCAATCTTCCAATACGACAGTAAACATTAAGTACCTAACATTGAGGGAACCCCACTGGCAAACTACACTCGGGCTGACCCAAACCCAGTGACACCTTCTAAAATCTGATATCCACGTTACACTGCTAGACACATATAGCCTTCACCTTCCCACCTCAGTACCAGCACTAGCTGTATGATATCCCACTGGATGTGTAGGAGTTAAATATTTAAACTAACCTGTTGCCATAGCAGCTGCTGTTGCTCTGGATCCTGCTCCCTCCTCCGAGATCTTCAGACATACCTCTCCGGGTCATCCCCAGTTAGGCTTGTCCGATTCATTCATACTCAACACTTGATAAAAGGGGAATTCTCCAACTGTCTGCTGTGTCTGTCATCTTCTGCAGAGCGAGCTCAGTTAGCGAGGGATCAGAGAATTTGTATATGATTCCTCTAGTATCCTAGCAACAACCTCACATACAATGGATTCTGTATTGCGCTACATGTCTCATGTAACATATACAGTCTCTTATAATATTTCAAGTACAGAATGTTTACATGAAAAGAACAGAAGAGGCTTCTTTTTATTGCAGCATCAATTCTGTGCACTGAAATGCTCCAAATTTACCAATCCCTATATTTACGAATAATCAGCCAGGGTGTGGCCCACAATCCCTACCCTGCCTGAGAAAAATATGCAGGCAATATACAGGGGTTATTACAATTATACACAAAAACCTTCCCCCTAGACAGGTATGGGCCACACTACAAGTCCCAGGAGAAAATGACATTACATAAATAAACAACCAAACACAAGAAAACAATGGATTGCTTCCCGGCACCTAGCAGTCTGGACTCTGGAGGTGATTAAACAAAGTGAGACCTTATCACCTAAACCGAAAATAGCAAACAATAGTTGATGCCATGAAACCTGTCACAGAAAATAAAGTTTCTTAACCCCTCATATGCTGGAATTTACACCCTGCACATACATCATGTTCCAAATTATTATGCAAATGATATTTTTCTCATTTACCTAAATAATTGATGTAAATAACAGTCAGCACAATTCTCATGTTATCAACTATTAAGAGTACAATGCAAATTTTATTGAACAAACCTCCTAATTATTATTACTTATTATTATTATTACTACGAGTTTATATAGCGCCAAAGGGTTTGCTCAGCGCTGTACAATAGGGGGGACAATACATGGCACAGTACAACAACAAACAACGTACGAGGGGTAAGAGGGCCCTACTCTTACGAGCTTACAATCTAGGAGGGAGGGGGTAAAGGTACAGTAGGAAGTGGCTGAGGGGGATGAAGTGGTGGGAGGAATGAGGGAGGATGGCCGTTAGGTGAGGGTGGGGTAGGCTTCCCTGAAGAGATGGGTTTTGAGGGAGCGCCTGAATGTGAATAGGGAAGGCGACAGTCTGATGGATTGGGGCAGTGAGTTCCAGAGGATGGGGGAGGACCTGGAGAAGTCCTGCAGTCGTGCATGGGAGGAGGAGACCAGGGAGCAGGATAGAAGGAGGTCCTGTGAGGAGCGAAGGGTACGGGTAGGGTGGTACTTGGTGATCAGGTTGGTGAGGTAGTCAGGGGCAGTGTTGTGAACGGCTTTGTAGGTCAGGGTTAGGAGTTTAAATTTGATGCGTTGGGCAATCGGGAGCCAGTGGAGGGAGAGGCAGAGGGGGGTGGCAGAGGTGGAGCGGGTGGTGAGGTGGATGAGTCTGGCAGCTGAGTTCAGGATGGTCTGGAGCGGGGAGAGAGCCTGCACTAATGATAACAGTATATTTTTTTAAACATAAAACACTTACAATGCAATGTTCCAAATTATTACGCACAGTAAGTTTCAAAACACTTTATAGATTGTAAAGAACTGAAAATTGTCATTTGTTGTGTTTGCAGCATATTTACTGAAATCAAAAGCTAAAATCAAACTTTTAACAACATTTTAACTTTTTAAACATTTTAACAGGTCACGTTACATTGTAACATAGGACCCCTTATTTGATAGCAGCTTCACAAGTCTTGCTTCCATTGAACTTGTGAGTTTATGGACAGTTTCTGCTTGAATTTGTTTGGCAGATGTCAGAATAGCTTCCCAGAGCTGCTGTTTGGATGTAAACTGCCTCCCACCCTCATAGATCTTTTGCTTGAGAATGCTCCAAAGGTACTCAATAGGATTGAGGTCAGGGGAGGATGGAGGCCACACCATGACTTTCTCTCCTTTTATCCCCATAGCAGCCATTGATGCAGAGGTATTCTTTGCAGCATGAGATGGTGCATTGTCATGCATGAAGATGATTTTATTACAGAAAGCATAGTTCTTCCTTCTGTACCAGGGAAGAAAGTGGTCAGTCATAAACTCCACATACTTTGCAGAGGTCATCTTTACACCTTCGGGGACCCTAAAGGGGCCGACCAGCTCTGTTCCCATGATTCTGGCCCAAAACATGACTCCACCACCGCCTTGCTGACGTCACAGCCTGTTGGAACAGGGTGGCCGTCCACCAACCATCCGCTACTCCATCCATCTGGACCATCCAGGGTTGCACAGCACTCATCAGTGAACAGGACTGTTTGAAAATTAGTCTTCATGTATTTTTCTGCCCAATGCAGCCGTTTCTGCTTGTGAGCATTTGTTAGTGGTGGCTGAATAGAAGGTTTATGCACAGTTGCAAGACTCTGGAGGACTCTACACCTTGATGTCCGTGGGACTCCAGAGGCACCAGCAGCTTCAAATATCTGTTTGCTGCTATGTAATGGTATTTTAGTAGCTGCTCTCTTGATCCGATGCATGGATCTGGCAGAAATCTTCCTCAATGTGCCTTTATCTGCACAAACCCGTCTGTGCTCTGAATCAGCCGCAAATCTCTTAATAGTGCAATGATCACACTTACGTTTTCGTGAAATATCTAATGTTTTCAAACCTCGTCCAAGGCATTGAACTATTTCACTCTTTTCGGCAGCAGAGAGATCCTTTTTCTTCCCCATATTGCTTGAAAATGGTGTTCTGCTTAATAATGTGGAACACCCTCCTTTAGTAGTTTTTCCTTAAATTGGGCTCACCGGCCAATCTAATTATCACAGGTGTCCGAGATTGTTTTCAGTGATCAAAAGAGCCCTGACACACAATGCCATCCATGAGTTATACTGAAAAACAAAATATTTAATCTTTGTGACACTTAAATAGAATTTGCATAATAATTTGGAACAGGGTGTAGTTCTACTATGCCCAGTATGCCTAGGGGTCCCAGAAACAGTCCCTCCAGCCCTTGCATGGAAAGGGTAGCTAGTATAATTCACAGCCAGTCAAGTGCCCAGGGAAGTGATATATTCCTCTTGGGGAAAAGGTTCCTTGTAACCCCAAGAGGGGGGGTCTCCTTAGTCCTGGGTCCATAGTCAGTGGGAAGGAGGTTGGCTCCCAGGTCCCTCCAGGGGCCCAAGTCACAGTGGTTTCTGTGACAGGGGGCTTTTGACTTCTGATGGTGGTGGGGGGATCTTGACATAAGGGGAGCTCTGGACATCTGCTTATAATTATTATGGGAATAATACAATTCTATACCAGCTGAAAAGGAGGGTTGCACATATCATCCACATGAAACTTTATTGGAGACTGCTCAGACAGAACACCATAGCAGACCCATGTTCTTTCACAGCAGATGCCAATAAAGCTTCTTGTGGATGATACCAGCGGTGCGTGATCCTCAATTTCAAGCTTGCATCGTCTACCAGAGGAGTGTGAGTGGGCTGCATGCTGATCTGCACCTGCCCTTTACACCTTAAGGCCCCATGTACACAGGACACTTTTGAACGATGGAAACTGACTGCTGGAAAATGTAGGTTCAAAAACGTCTGTTTGCATACCGCATTTATACGCATTTATCCGTGTTTGCGTTTAGAAGTGTTTTTTAAAGATAACCTCAGGAGACCTTCGAAAATGCCCAGAATGCACTGGAAAACAGTAAAAAATTAACTATTTTAGACATTTTGAGAGAAATAGAGAGAGCAGAAGCAGAGAGAGCAGTATTTGTTAAGATTAGCTGTCTTTTTTTTGTGGTGTTTGGATGTGTTCCAGCTCATTTCTGTGCAGAAATTATTGCAGCATATTTTCTTTCATGTGAAACCTCAAAGTATGGTGTACCAGGTCCATTTGAGTACCGGGAAAACACTTTGTATGCATTTTTCATGATAAAAAAGGCTCTGGACAGCATCTGGAAATGGAAGAGTTAAAAAAAAAATTCCGAATGAAAACGCTTTTAAACGCGGTTAGCAAACGTTTGGTTTTTGAAACGCTGATAAAATCTACTCCTGAACGCAAGTTTGGTGCGTTAAAAAGAACTACTGTAAACGATTCTAAACGACTATGTGCACATGGACACATAGGAAAACATTAGGGAGAGTTCAGGGGCTGCTGAAAAAAACGCAGAAAAGCTCCCTAAATGTGAGTTTATCAGTTGCAGTGTACATGGAGCCGAATTCTTATTACTAAAATCAGTAATAATTGAACGCAGAGGCAATTATTTACTATGATAAAGAGAAGATACATTTCTATAGTCTTACAGATACAATCGGCTCTTTGGGGGCAACTATAATGCTGATTCATCCCATGATGAAAGGTGTTTGATACCCCTGCTAATGTATTACATTTGTTTTTGGCTTGCAGAGCTGAGTCATCCATTCAAAGAGATGTGTGAATTGAAAGACTACAATCCCCATCTACCACTGCTAGAAGAATTCATAGTTTGCAGTCAAGCACAAGTGCCGTGACCACAATTGTACTCCATTGTCAACTTTCTACAGCCCCATACCAAAGGTCAATACTAAAGGGCTAGGGGAAGATTCTGCAGGAGATTGTACATTGCATCCACAACCCACTGATAGCTGTTGCAATGCTCTGCGGGGATCCAATCCAAAAATGTAATAAATGCACGCTTGACTTTATTAATGTAGGCACATATATTTCATTTTTTCAAAATGGGGACTATGCCTTTAATTGCTTGTGTAGCCCTTGCTTTTAACCATTAATGTGTTTTTCTATCTGTAGGATATACTGTGCAACTGTGCAATCTTTCTGAGCAGATCTGTATTTTTTATTCTTTTTATAGGGACCCATCAATACAGCTGTGATTAAATGCCTTCATTTACTCCTGAAGATTTATAATAGTCGCACATGGGAATAATGTAGACAGATCCTAATTAAGATGAAATGACTCTACCCCATATACACTGTGTACTAAGAACTCTCTCTTTCCCACTTCATTCTTGCTTTATCTGCTCTAACCTGGGAGCATTTTCTCATATTTATGTTGTGTACATCTGAGAGCGGGGAGATGGAGGAATAAGAGCACAATGAATAAACTTACTAAAGAGTGTTTAAGATTTCCCACTGTTAAAGGATTTAGGGTCCTTTAACATCTTTGTAATAATACATCAGATAAAAGGGTGTGTGGGCAAGTACAGCGGTATTATTGCACTAATAATACCTGAAACTGTAGACAGAAAGAAATGATATTAAATGAGCTATGTGGCCTAATAATAGGAAAGGGGGTGCAGGCATAATAGACAACACTTCAGCCCCGATGGGTCTTTTCAAGTCAAACATATACTTTTATTAAGACTCACATAGAGATGAAATATTGCCTGTTATGTTAGTACGTTGTTCCGATAAAGAAAAGAGCATTGCAATGGTGGTACTGCAACTTCTCTTGGATATTGTATGCAGCTGTAACTGCATAAAGGATAATCATTTCCTCTGCAAGACCGTATTTGTTATTCTCATCGCTATTAAGCTGAGGCAGACACAGGAGAAGGAAAGGATGATTGTTCGGCAATAGAGAGATGGTGGTGGCTTGAATCATTGACTGGCTACCCATATCTTTCAAGGACTTTAGAGGTGAGATCTCCCTGCTGACATTTCTGTCTAATCTGTCCTACCTACAGCCATTCTCATTCCTTGGATTCAACCTGCCAGAATATAGCCTAATTTATTTATTTTAGATACTTATATAGCGCCATCAATTTACACAGCACTTTACATATATATTGTACATTCACATCAGTCCCTAACCCTCAAGGGGTGTACAATCTAAGGTCCCTAACTTACATTCATACATACACATACTAGGGACAATTTAGACAGGATCCAATTCCCCTACCAGCATGTCTTTGGAGTGTGGGAGGAAACCAGAGTACCTGGAGAAAACCTACGCAGGCACAGGGAGAACATGCAAACTCCAGGCAGGAGGTGCCGTGGCTGGGATTCGAACCAATGACCCTAGTACTGCCAGGCGGAAGTGGTAACCATTTAGCCACTGTGCTGTGATATTGGATTTTTTTTTTTTTTTGAACTGGCATTTTCAACCAAAATGTGAGTTAGCCTAAGTTCACACTACAGCGGTGTGGTAAATCCCATGTGATTTGCACAGGAACCACACCGCATTCCTGTGCAAATCACATGCACATTGAACGCGTTGCGATTAGAGCCATACATTTTGCATGGCTCTATTCGCACTGCACCTGCAGCAAAAACGTGCAGGACCCTTTTTTAGTCCGCACTAGCATCAGATCGCATAGGTATTCACACCTATGCAATCTGATTCTGCACATTGCACCACGTTTTGTGGACCGATGTCTGGGTGTTGTTAGCTTACCATACACACCCGCATTAGTTCGTATGAACGGGGTGGGATTGTGATGCGGTGCGGAATTTGCACTGAAAACGCTGCGAATTCCGCACCAGTTTGAACCATAGCTTAAGGCCTCATGAACACTGCAGCTGTCAAATGCCTGTTTTAAGGGTGTATGACTTTTTGTTCTTTTTCTGCCCCTTATTTCTGCCATTATGCCCTCTATGTTAGCCTATGTGTCCATGCACACATAGGCGTTTAGAGTAGTTTAGAAGCAGGGGTGATTAGGGGCAGCAATCTGAACACACCAAAATCACGTTCAGGAGAGGAGCTTTTGGGCAGATAAAACTCCTGACGCGTCTAAACACGTGTAAACACATCTAAAAGTGCCTAAGCGCTAGGCCTGTTTAGTGCTTGAGCATTTTTTAATTTCAGTGGTCAGAATAAATACAAATGCCCAAGTGTTTGGCGTGCCTATACACATTTGCAAAAACGCAGCATTTTTGAAGCTTCTTTTTTCCTGCTAGGAGGAAAGCGTTTACAAAAAACCCAGTTTGCATAAAGTTGAAGTTTATTTTAATCTTTTTGGGGGGGGGGGGGACACAACACCAAACACATTAGTTATGTGTAATGGTATGTATCTCATTATCTACAGGTGTTTGCTTTTGCTAAAACTCTTCCTTGCAGCATCTCCTTCATAGTCACCGTCTTCCTGTGCCATGAAAATGAACAGCCGAGGTTGCTACTGAGAAAAGCTTCGCCACTCTGCCATTCACAGGACTAATCTTATTAGACTCCCACAGTGCATCACATTCTGTGAATGGCGGTAAATGTCCTGGCGTTAAACAGTTCCTCCTCCATTCACAGACACCCCTTACCTGCACAGGCAGTTTTTTGAACTATGCCTTAAAATAACCTAACAGTAATTTTTATCTATCTCAAGTATTTCAACAGCAAAATCTCAACTCGTGATCTCCTAAATCTGCACATACCCCAGTCATATAAGGACATCTTATTGTCCCTGTTCCATTCATAATTTATTATTATATATTATGCAGAATGCAAAGATACAATGTAAAGTAAACCTGTGGCCAGGCTATGGGCATGTAAAGTGTTACTAAATCCACAACAGTAAAATCAGTCTGTATATGCAGTAAAGCATGCTTGATATACTCACTAAGGGGTTAATCCTCAGCATTGTATAAAAACTCTGCTTGATCCTGACTTCACTGATCCTTCCCTTCTTCTAGTTTCCCCCTCTTATCTCCTGATAAGACATATCCTGTGGAGTCACTCTGCACATTCTCAGTTTGGTGTGTATTACTAGAGAGGTTTTTTTTTTCTTGGGAGAGTTCATGTGATCAGCACAGGGCCAATCAGCACTGTCCAGACAGAGGTCAGGGGTTCTGCATCCTCCTAGAGCAAAATGAAAACTCCTCCTTCTTGTTTTAACCAGTGCTCGGCTGGACACTGATATGTCAAAAGACTGCTATATACTGCTGATGATAAAAGGTATTCATCAGTTTCTATTTACTAAAATAATTGCACTTCCACGTTCTGTGTACTGTGGGAGACCAGATATAGAAAATGCAGGGTCCTGGGTATAGTAACACTTTAAGCATTTACATATCATTAGCAGTAACAGTAAACTAACTTTAAAACAAGCTCTCACTGACCTCTGTAGCTGAAGGCAATGTGGAGTAACTCATTCTCAAAGTTCATAGCAGCGGCACAGCAGTCACTTCTAGCCAGTTTGTCAGTAGTTTTAGTTCATCTTACTCCACCTACCAACAGGGAACTGGCAGCCTTCTGGCCCAGCTCCTGCTTTGTGTTTACATTAGAAGGCTGGTAGGCTTTCAAGTAATTACTGGGGAAGGGGGGGAGGGGCATGGGAAGTTGGAGCTGCTGAGAAAACAGTGCGTGTTTTGGCTGTAAAGTTTGAGGATAAACTGCTCCATGGTGCCTGCTGCTATGGAGGTCAGTGATGACTTGTTTTAAAGCTCTTTTATTGCTTTTTAAGAATATGTACATACAATGTACTTTGATGCCATCAAGCCACCACTGTCAGTTGGCAATATATTTAGTTTTCTCTCTCTTCTTGTGGATAAAATGTAACAGAATAGGGGAATCATAATGTTTACAGGCCAAAAACAAGAATTTTCAAGGCTCTGACACATTGTTAGCATCCCCATTGTAGATGGCTATACTACAAGCAGGCAGTCAGCTAATCAATGGAAATTTGGAAGAGTGGAAGAGAGGCTATATCACTGTGAACTGAGCTCACCTGGAGCATGAAAAAAAATGTAAAATCTCCTGGTTCACTTGAGAGAGCATTAGGTTAAAACACTGGTAGGCATTAAATGGACTTCAGTGAGTTCAAGTATATAGTATATTCTATAAAACCTTGTTAAATATTTTATGCATCTTTACTCTACACACCTTTGAGAAACAAGCCACATTGTCTGAACACATCTTACTGTACAATTATTCTGATTATAGGGCCAACATAAAAGAAAAATCTGCATCTGCCTTGAGTTACCACCCTTTGCTTCAAAAACTAGCCTTTATAACAAATAATCTGGATTTTAAAATTTCATCCAAACACATTCTGTTTCATAAATTCATGACTGTGTATCATATACACATTTGTAGGTTCTTTCTACCTGCTGAAATCTTAGGATGAGGCACAAAAATATATTCATTGAAATCTTACTAACTCTGTTGGGTTTGTAGTAGACACCAGATGTAGGCCAGAAATGCTTGCACAAAACAGAGGTAGAAAGATCAGTCTTTGAAAAACTCTTTTCAGAACACGCAAGCTCCAAAAGGCAAAGACTGGGAGCTTATGTTGTCTTAGAAGGGCAGGAGAAGAGTAGGACATTGGCAGCACCAGATCATCCTTGGAGAAACAATAATGCTTGGATAGAAAAATCCATCATGGCCAATCGATTCTCTCCCCAAGATCAGTGAGCCAGGTGATGTTTGGCGGTATGACAGTGCACTTAGATATGAGATCGGAATGGTCTGGTGACAATTGTCTACCATTAACTGTCACCTCTACACTTAGAGATGGAAAAAACAACTGGCTATATACACTAGCAGAATTTCAGTATTTTTTTCTTGTTTTAAGAACATTTGTTCAATTTTCTAATCATGAGTGGGGTCAAATCATGTTTGTTTTTGGTCATAGTGATGGGGAAAATTAGGTGCAGGGTGTGAATTTGTTTTTCTCGAAGGAAGGAATTTCTAACAGTATATGTAATTTTCATTCCAGAAAGCTTTACATTAATTAATTGAGAAAAATGCAAGGCATGTTCTGAATGGTGGCTGTGCCAAAGCAAGCGCCCCATGTGGTTACTATTTAAAGAAGATCGCCACCATCACTGTAGTAGCTCAGGCTACTACAGTGATTTACAGCCCCCACAGAGGCCAATCAGATCACATACTATATGCATACTTACCAAGCTTGCCCAAACTAAATTTGCAAAATACATAATTGCTGAAGTTCAGCTTTATAGCTTGACATTTTGATGTGGAGACTGGGTTGTTTTAAAGTGGTTGTAAAGGCCCAAGGTTTTTTAACCTTCATGCATTCTATTCTATTCTGTGTGCAGCAGACCCCCCAACCCCCTGAGCCCCATTGGGATTCAGTGATGTGCCCAAGGGCCTCAACTCTCCCTCCTCATTGGCTGAGACAGCAGTGGGAACCACTGGCTGTCAATCACAGACAGTAAGCCAATGAGGAGGGAAAGGGGGTGGGGCCAAGCCACAGCTCTGTGTGTGAATGGACACGCAGAGCAGCGGCTCGGGAGCAAGCCTGCTTGGGTGCTGTGGGGGGACTTGGCAGGAGGGAGGGGCCAGGACTGCCAGCTGGGGACCTGAGAAGAGGAGGATCAGGACTGCTCTGTGCATAACCACTGCACAGAACAGGTAAGTAAGATGTGTTTGTTATTTTTTTTAATTGCCTTTGATTTCACTTTATGTACACCTGTATACCTTTACTAGTGCAATCTTTACCCCCCGTTCACATCAGTGCGACTTGGCATCCGATTTGCACGCCCTGCGACTTGCATGCCAAGTCGCACCCTGTTTTCCGCAATTGGAGCGGTCATATCGGTGCGGTTCCGACTTGGTCGGAGCCGCACTGATTTCTAAAGTAGTACATGCACTACTTTTGGTGCGATTTGCATAGACATCTGTATCAGATGTCTTCCAAATCGTACCTGAAATCGGCAGATCCCCCCAACTTTGAAATCGTGCGACTTCACTGTAAGTCACACAATTTCAAAGTCAGGCTTGATGTGAATGAGGGCTTAGGCCCCTTTCACAATGGGAGGACTCTGTTATGATCAGCAGGGGATCTGTCCACTGATCCCCTGCTGATCAGAACAGAACAGGGGAAGACAAGTCCGTGTCTGCTCAATTTATGCAGAGTGAACACAGACAGGGCCACCCTGCTCTATGGTTGGCAGGGTGTAAACAGACCAGCTGTCTGTTTACACCCAACTGCCCTCTGATCTGATCTGCCTAGATGGAGGAGGACAGATATATTTCTTTTTTTTTTTACATTTTCAACAGATCGGATCAGAGGTCAGAAGGTATAAACAGACAAAATTCCTTTTACACCTGTCAGTCCAAAAGGGTGAATGGATCTGATCATGTCTGCCTCAAAAACTGATAGGTGGACCTGAACACATTAACAGATTGTCCAACACATTTTTTTTCTTTCATTTTTCTGGTGATCCTGCCAGTAACATACCTCCTGTGCTAGGGTGACAATGCTAATTTACCATACCATTTCTATTTAGAAGCAGAATTGTCACCATAGACAGGACTATAAACTACTCCACAATATAAAGGGAATGGTTTAACTGATAAGAATACAGCACAGGCAGAGAGTACAAGAAGTTATTAGCTGACAAGTCTTTTAGAATCAACAGGTTATGTTTTGCAATTATTAAACAGATATAGCAGAACCCATTTATTTATTTATCAGATCAAAAGGCACCAAATAAGCATCATTGTTAGCCTTCATGCACATTGAGGCTTTTGTAAATGCTTAAAAAACGTGCATAAGCTGTGTTTTTGCAAATGCTTTTAGGCACATCAAGCACTTGGGTATTTATTTAACTGATCTAAATAATAATTTATTTTGGCCACAGAAATAAAAAAAATGCCCAAAAGCTCAAGCACTAAACGAGCCTAGTGCTTAGGCCCATTTACACGCGTTTTGAAACAAGCCACCAGAATGCTCCTCTCTTGAATGCACAAATGATGGCTTTTTTTTTGCCTCTAAACTCCTGTAAACGCCTTAGTGTGCATGGACACATAGGTGAATATGGGGGGGTGTTAAAATAAAGAGCCACCTCTGAGGCTTTGAAGAAGAGGGGATCACCCCTCAAAGGAGTCAGCGTTTTGGATCACCTATCCTCTAAATGGATTTGTACAGGGAACCAGGTCGTTCTTATTCATTGTTTGATCGATGTGCCATTAAATCTATGTTGCTTGTGAGTATATATCTGTTTTTAAAGGTACTGCTGAGATAATGCGCTAGGCTGGTGCACCCTCTGTTCCTTGTGTCTTGCAGTTCTTCAAACAACCCTTTATGTTAAAAAAAAAAAAAGAAGAATACTAAAATTCTCTCTCTTGGATCACTTTTTTCCCCTACTTAAAATGTATCCGTCAGTAATACTCCCTGGGATATAACTAATTGGCTAAAAAACTGTATGTTGATATACACATACCATCTTCTACACTAGTACACGCTCAGTGATGACTGCAACTTTAAAAGATGCCAAAATAGACAATATTGATCTCTATGGAAAACAAGCCAATACAGCCTTGTTCACACTTTAAACAAGTGTCAGTGAGCAGTGAAAATGCCCTTACCATACAGATCGATATCTCTGCATGGGAAATGCCGAGTGCTCACACTAGATGAGGGTCCTTAGATTTCCTGCATCATATCATATTTCAGCTGCTACCTTCATCTCAGAAAATCGCCTTACTTTTTTTTTTCCAAGGAAAACACCTTTATGAAAAGTGAAAATAGCTTTTTTTGTTTGCCATCACCTCAATGTTTTGTCTGTGTGCTACAGGAAGGACAGCTTATTCCAATTAGTATTGATTCGGGGAACATTGAGTGGGTGGAAGTCTTGTACCCTTTTTCTGTCAAGTGAAATTTAAATGTTATTATTGAGACTGGCACTGCTAAATAGGAAGAAATACCAGCTGTAGAGCCAATTACCAGCAGCGGCTGCAGAAAAAACACCTCTGACATATCTTGTAGTGAGGAAGATCTCTCTACCGGTAAAGGATGACATGCACTTGGTTAGAAAATGTATTTGCCGTCCTAATTCTCACATGACGAAATGTTGAAAAGGAAGTGCTGCAGGCAATTACTACTGCAGTGCCCCCTCAAGTATTGTACAGATTGTGAATAAAAGGTTAGATCACAAGGATTTATTGTAACCACAAACCAATCTGGTGGTGTTTCTGAGCTCAATTCACTACAATACTGTGTCATATAATTCCCCGAAGTCAGGCAGCAAATACTTGGAGAAATACCTACAGTAGTACTTAAAGCGGAGCTCCACCCAAAAAAGTTCCACTTTAAGCCTTTGTCCCCCGCTCCCCATTAAGGATTGGCACCTTTGGGGAGCGGGTACCCAAATTTTACAGGTACACGCTCCTGCTTCCGCTGCGATTGCCTAGGTGATCGGAAGCGGACGTTGTCCCCCCCCCCCCCTCCCCATAGTCTTCTGGGACACGTGACAGGTCCCAGAAGACTACTGGGTCATTCACAAAGTGCAGCGCTTCTTGCACATGCGCAGTGGGCACCCAGCTATGAAGCCGCAAGCTGTCACAGCCTGGTGCCCACACTGAAGATGCCAGCACCCAGGGATGGAAGACATAAAACGGGCTGCAGGGGACACACTGCGAGACCGAGGGACAGGTGAGTGTGTGTTTTTTAAAAGTCAGCAGCTACAGTTTTTGTAGCTGCTGACTTTTATTTTTTGACAGCGTGAGTGGAACTCCACTTTAAAGTGTAACTAAAGCCTAACTAAGGGCAAAAACTTTACTATTATCATTGAAAGTGAAAGGAAATCCCAAATTTTGGGTTGACACCAACACAGTAACAGAGAGAAAAAATCTTCTAATGGGACGCTAGGTCTAGTGACATTCCAGGATTATCTCAATTTGGAAGGAATTCCTTCCTCTCTTTTGGTGATGAAACAGGAAGGGAAGGGAAATCTCTCCTATGGGACACAGATGGCAAACAAAAAACAAAAAAAAATGGACAGGGATTATAACCCTCCCTGACCCTATCCAAAATGAAAAAAAACCTGAAAATTGTATCAAATGCTCACTGTAATTTTCCTTTCCTGGTGACAATCCATGGTATTATACTACCACATGTATGCTGCCATGTTGACGCAAGGAAAAAAGTTTTGCCTTTAGTTACACTTTAAACCTAAATTCCGTGGAAGCTGGAAATCACTACAGTAGTCACCTCTACCACAGTGATTGCTGCTAGCTTCTGGGTCCCATGCCAAGGGGCTGTCCTGCTGCTTATTGAACACAGAGGGTCAGTGGAGTCTGGAATACATGGCGGGGAATGGGGGGGGGGGGCTGTCAACTTTTAACTTTCCTGTCAACCTGACGCTAACAAGACTCCAACCTGCTATTTCTTTGACATCTATGGGACAGTCTCCTGAGCATCTCCAGAATCAGAAGAAGAACCCAGTTGTGACCAGTGGCAGTGGAGACTGGATAAGTGTACTTTATCGGAAATTTCACATATCCTTTCAACTGGGATGGCCTGGACACACAAGCATCAAAAGAAGGCAACCACAGCATATTCCTAGTATCAGGACGCAAAACCACTTAGGTAAGTATGTGATCAGCAAAAGTAATTTCACTTAGCGGTTGTCCCAGCATGTGCTTTCATTATCATAGCTTTAAAAAATGCTATATGCCACTTAAATAATCACTGATGCATTCCCTTAGGGAACAGTTTAAAATACAGATGGCTCTATTAAAATAATTAAAGCACTAGTTTTTATTACACTTATGGTTCCTTTTATATATCACTAACATACATTCCAGCACATTCCAGCACAGCCTTGAGAAATTACAGGATATACCAGTACATACAACAAATAATCTGATCTAATGTATTTTTATAAGATGATATAACATATAGCCTTTTGCCAGTTTTAGTGAAGATGGCTTTTGTTTTCCAATAGTGTTTATTCGGTTTTTCATAAGAAATTACAAATCAGTACAGAGAAGATATACATCTATGCTCCCCCTCCATCCCATACAAACTGCAGCCCATTCGGGCCGGAACAGGCAATGCGCAGAATACAATGTTTCAATAAGAAAAATAAATCTCTGTTGACGGTAACCAAAGGGGTCCCTTAGGAACCTGTAGATAGAAGATAAATCCAGGGAAGGGAAAGAGGATGCGAGTTAAACTAGAAAGGGAAGAGTGAGAATAGAGATAGGGGAAGTAAAGGAAAGAAAAAAGGAAGAAACAAAGGACGCTTGTTGAAGAAGGGTCCGACCAACAGTCGGGTGCAGGGAGCAAGACGGTTTATGTTTATCGACATCCCATGTCAAGTATCCTCCATCCAAGGATGATGCTGAAAGATATTGCATCCAAGGTTCCCAGGTTTTTTTCAAAATATACCATCCTGTCTTAAAGAATAGCGGTCAAACATTCGTTGACCATTATCCAGGTCAACTTAGCCTTCAGAAGATCAAGGGAGACCAAGGGGGATCACCAAGAGTGTGCAATAGATATCCTGCGAGCAGTAAATATAAATGCGATCAGGCGTTTCACATGTCTGCGTACACCCTCCACCGGCTACCCCAGGAGAGCCTTGAGTGGTGATTTGGTAAGATTGACCTGAGTCAGTGAGTATATAATGTTGTACGAAAGTATGTGCGAATCCAAAATCGCTTGACTTTGCTAAAGGTCCACCATATATGGAAAACTCTGCCCTCCTGTCCGCAACCTCGGAAACAGGCCCCCTGAACAAAGGAAGGCAAGCGGGAGGGCACCAGATACCATCGCATGAAGACCTCATAATTAGCTTCAATCAATGAAGTATTGTGAAGATGGCTTTTCAATAAAAGATAACTTTCATCTTTGGATACAGCTACTAAGAAGTACATATCCTCCCATGAGGAAGGGCCAGAACGTTTGTCAGGTTCTCACTGGGGATATTTCTGCTTTTCGTTCCCCTGTGACACCAGGACACCAAAAAAAGGCAAAGGACACAGGACAGGAAACACACAGTATAATAACAAAAAATTACTTTCACACTCTGGTAAAAATGTTTTTTTTTATTGTCTCTGCCTTTAATGGGATAAATTTTTCCCATCATTTCTAGTCCCAGTAACATCCTAGGTAGGAAGCAAGAAGATGTGGTTCTTTACCAAAGGCAAATGGGCTGTGCACACTGCAAGTACAGTTGCTCCAGAGCTTAGTAAATGAGTGGAAGCCCTGTTGACTTCTATCATCCAATCATTTGCATGCAAAAAAATACGTTTTTTTTTAAATTTTCCTTGCAATTGATTGGGTATGTTTTTGCAAAATGAAGCTTTACCACGTTTATTAAAGTGGAACTCTCAATCAACATGGATTATTTTGAATCCTTATGCTACCAGCATTAGTAAATAGATAGGAAAGTGTATCATGTTTACCTGTTTTAAACGTTGTTTTTTTTTTTTACATTTCTTTAGTTACTTCCTGGTTTCCATGCCTAGGCAAATGAGGTCATACATCTCAGGAGTCTTCAGGAAGGGGGAGGGACTTTCTCAGCTAAGCACACCCTCCTGCCTGTATGCCTGAGCTAAGGGAAGGTGGATTCAAGGAAGTAATTGCTACATGAATCATCTGCCCTTACTCAAGATGGCCACAACCAGGAATGCTAGGGAAGTGTTTTTCAAAGTGATTCTCAATAACATAATGGCTTAATAACCTGGAAGCTGTGTGCACCAGTTTTTTGTAAATATCCCCTATAGGCTAATATAAAGGCGCTTTTACAGGCTGAAAAAAAAAAGATGCCACACACTTATAAAAAGTGGCGTTTATTAAGCCCAGTGTGCACGAGCCCTTACTGTGGTTACACCTTGGAAATTCTGTGCTTTGGCCACAACATCAAACCATCATAAGGACTTAATAGTATAAAGCCATACATTGATCAAAATCCGATGTTTCAGCAGGGACCAGCCAAATTTTGATCAGTGTGTTACTGTTGATCATTTGACTGATTTCTGTTGATGGGACAAGCAAGAAACATTCTGGCGCGAACAGCGGCTGCAGCAGCTGGTTAGTATATTCTGACAGTGGAGGGTTCTGCTGTCGGAATAAAATGTCCCGGGGAAGAGGGCATTCCTTTATCCACCTGGCATGTGTGGATGGAGGAATCCCTTGGTTTTTATTTTGTTCAGCCCCCTGGCTGAATGAAAAATAAAGACCTGTCAATGGCCACCTTTACTGAAACACACAGATACATCACCAGTATCTGTTTACAATGGACAAGTCTGCACACGGGCCTAATCATGTTTTTAAATGGAGGCTTTAACATTTGCGGTTGTGACAAAAATTAGACAATTGAAACGCCTACTACACATGATCAGAAAATTGGATGAAAAATAGTATGCATTCAAAGTGATCGTACGATAACCTGATGATTAATACACAGCTTTTGTCCACAGTTATCCGAAGGGACAAGCATGAAACTTTTTCCAGATACCAGATCGTACGATTTTCATTTAAAGTGTTACTAAACCCACAACAGTAAAATCAGTCTGCAGAACAGGGTTGTCAAACTCAGTTTCATAGTGGGCCACCTTAGTATTATGGCTGCCATCGAAGGGCTGGTTGTATCCGTAAGACTATATAAATGTATCAGCTCTTTATCATATTAAATAATTGCCTCTGCAATTGAATATTATTGGTTTTGGTAATAACTTAAAGTGTTAAACCCACAACAGTAAAATCAGTCTGCATATGCAGTAAAGCATGTTTATTATATTCACTGTGAAACCTAAGGGGTTAATCCTCTGCATTGTGTAAAAAGGCCATTTGATCCTGACCTCTCTGTTCCTACTCTTGTTCAAATATTCACGTCTTACCTCCTGATAAGACAGTGTGAACCATAGGAATTTTGCACATGCTCAGTTTAGTGTGTATTTTTTTTCTTGGGAGAGTGCATGTGATCAGCTCAGGGCCAATCAGCACTGTTTTGCATCCTCTTAGAGCAGAAAGAAAACTCCTCCTAAAAGCTTTAATCAGTGCTCTGCTGAACACTGATAAAAGTCACAAGACTGCCCTAACTGCTGATGAGAAAAGGTATTTAGCAGTTTATATTTATTAGAATAATTGTACTTCCATGTTGTGTGTACTGTGGGAGACCAGATATAGTGAATGCAGGGTCCTGGGTTTAGTAAAACTTTAAGGTTCCCGAGATTTTTTGTCCCGAGAATACAATACAAATACATTACATCACTTTTGATTCTTATACAAGAATTTTCGTAAATTTAGTAATCTCTTCACTTTCCATATGAGACTAGCATGCCCAAAAAAACAGATGACCATTCGTCTGATATTCTTATTGTGTATACGGGGATTTAGGTAGGCCACAGCTTGTTTATATCAAAAGAGAATGATAAGAAAAACAAAAACAATGAAAAAAAACATAAATAGGAAACAGACATCTCACAGCATAGAGCCGGTGTGAATTTGTAGATGACTTCACATATGATATTGTGTAGAAGCAGCACATGGGAGCAGAAAAATTACCCCCCTCCACTACAGGAGAGGCTAGCAATGCGTAGGGGTTATATAAACACAGAGAACAGCAGGGAGCCTGAGATGAGAAGAAAGCAGGGGGAGGAGTGATGAAGAGACAGATTTGGCATGTTCCCCAAAAACAAATTACTGCAGGAAAACACTCTTTTGCAAAATATACTGTTTTTTATCACTTGTGCAATTAGTGCATCAGCCACCGGCATCATCCATAGTACTACTCTTTAGCATTTAACCCCCCCAGACACTACTGTTGCAGCGCAGCAAGGTATACAGTGCCCCATATGTATGCCTTGAATGTGTCAAAGTTGAACACCAGCCTTGTTTCCAGTCCTGCACAGTTGTGCAGGGGCTCCCCCCCTGTACTGAAATTGCTTACTCCCATTCCACTACACTCTGTGAGCTTCTCCCAATAGAAGCTGAAGCAAGTCAGATTGAACTTGCCTCCTTTCCTGGCTGGAGGACACCTAGCGTTATCTGGCTCAGTGGTTCTTAACCTTTTTTGAGTTGTGGACCCCTTTGAGAATCTGATGACAGCTATGGACCCCCTTCCCAGAAATATTTCCATAAAAACAACTTTGCATATATGTACTTTATTTTATTGATGTTTGCTTGTCTCATACATACAGTATATGACACGCACAAACTTTGAACAAAGTAAACGATTAGTGTTACCTATAACGCTGCCTCTTCCTCTTCACTCCCTCTTTCTGTAGGGGTCCCTCAAGGTTCTGTCATTGGACCCCTTCTCTTCTCCATCTACACCCTTGGTCACTTGATAAACTCCCATGGGTTTAAGTACCATCTCTATGCTGATGACACACAAATCTATCTGTCTACCCCTCACCTCACCCCTTCAGTCTCCACTCGCATTACTAACCTACTAAGTGACATATCGGCATGGATGTCACTCCACTTCCTCAAACTCAATCTTTCCAAAACTGAGCTCTTAGTATTCCCTCCAGCCCGTGCCCCCTCCCCTGACTTCTCCATCAAGATCAATAACACAACCATCAGCCCCACCCCTCACGCTAAGTTACTAGGTGTAATCCTAGACTCCCATCTGTCCTTTCACCCCCAAATCCAATCACTGTCCAAATCTTGTAGACTTCACCTCCGCAACATGTCCAAGATACGCCCGTTCCTAACCTTGGAAACCACTAAGCAACTTATTCACTCCCGTGTTATATCTCGCCTTGACTATTGTAATTCCCTCCTCATTGGCCTACCTCATTGCAGGCTATCCCCTCTTCAGTCTATCATGAATGCTGCTGCCAGACTCATCCACCTTACTAACCGTTCTGTATCTGCCACCCCTCTCTGCCAATCCCTCCACTGGCTTCCCATTGCCCAACGGATAAAATTCAAAACACTAACAATAACGTATAAAGCCATTTATAACTCTGCCCCAAATTACATCACCAATCTTCTCTCTAAATATCACCCAAACCGTAATCTCCACTCCTCGCAAGACCTTCTACTCTCTAGCTCCCTTGTCTCCTCCTCCCATGCTCGTCTCCTGACTTCTCCAGAGCTTCCCCCATCCTCTGGAACTCTCTACCCCAATTTATCAGACTATCGCCTACTCTGCTCACTTTTAGGCAATCTCTGAAAACCTATCTCTTCAGGGAAGCCTATCCTGCCCTCAGCTAATACTGGAATCTTCTACTCTTCCAACCAGTACATCCCCCACAGTTACTACCTTTTGTACCACTAGCCCCTCCCTCCTAGATTGCAAGCTCCAAGGTGCAGGTTCCTCAAATCCCTCTTGTATTGAACTGTATTGTTACTGTATTGTCTCCCGTTATATTGTAAAGCACTGAGCAAACTGTTGGCGCTATATAAATCCTGTATAATAATAATAAAAGCAGAGTTCCACCAAAAAGGAAAAGTTCCGCTTTAATGCTTTGTCCCCCGCTCCCCATTAAGGATTGGCACCTTTGTGAAGTGGGTACCCGAATTTGACAGGTACCCGTTCCCACTTCCGCTGCGATCGCCTAGGTGATCGGAAGGGAAGTTGTCCTCCCCCTCCCTCCCTGTAGTCTTCTGCGACATGAGACAGGTCCATTCACAAAGTGCAGCGCTCCTCGCACATGTGCAGTGGGTACCCAGCTGTGAAGCCGCCGCAAGCTTCACACTGAAGATGCCGGCACCAGGGAGAGAGGATGTCCAGTGAAACCAGCCGTGGTGAGGACACCGCTGAACTGAGGGACAGGTAAGTGACAGTATTTTGAAAGTCCGCAGCTACAGTTCTTGTAGCTGCTGACATTTTTATTTCTGGAACTCTGGAGCTGGAACTCCACTTTAAGGTCTGGTTCACACTTGTGCACTTTGCTCGACCCATTTCTGCAGTGCGCTTTGCTTTTTGCACTTGTGTTTTTTTATGCCTTTTTCTTTTTTTGTTGTTGTTGTTATGCAAGTTAAAAACGCAAATCGTATAATAAAACACACTGCATGTGTTTCTGCCACATGTCTATTGAAACCAAAAAAAGTCTTCTTTCCAAAAACACAGTGGCTGAGAAACGTATAGATGTGAATGTGTTCCATAGGAAACCATGTTAAATGGACTGTAGTGCGTTTCTGCAAAAAGCTATAAAAAAAACCGCAAAGGTGAGAATCAAGCCTAACAAAAAAACTCACACCTCATGCAAAAAGTAATGGCCACTTACAAAATCACCTTGTGCAAATTAAACAAAATCATTTTAATTCTGTTGAAACCTACTACTACTACTAGTAACTACTATATTTTTTACTACCATTACTGCTACTACTCTCGCTCTCCGCCCTCTTTCTCTCCGTCCCGTTATCTAGTCTATATCAATGAGAAGGTTGTTCTTCTGCCTTGAATAAGGATATTAAACTTTTTCGACAAGGTGACACGCATGTCATCTTTGACATCCAATCTATTTAGACTTTTCGTTTTAGTAAAAACAAGTACTAAAAACCATGGCTGGTTCAAGGATTTTTTTCTATACAAGTGAAGGTGCATTTTGCTGCCCACTACTGTCCTCCCCAATGGCAGTGTGTAATTACATAGTTACATAATTACATAGTCTGGCTGAAAAAAGACAAAAGTCTATCCAGTTCCACTGCACACCTTGGTGTCATCTGCAAAGACTGAAATGGGATCTTTAATCCCTAGACCCTATATCATTTATAAATATATTAAAAAGTAAGGGTCCCAACACTGAACCTTGGGGTACACCACTGATGACCCCAGACCATTCAGAGTATGAATCATTAACCACTACTCTCTGAATACGATCTTTTAGCCAGTTTTCTAACCATTTACATGCAGATTTTTCCAAGCCTGCAGACTTTACCTTACACATGAGCCATGTGTGGGGAACTGTGTCAAACGTTTTTGCAAAATCCAAGTATACAACATCCACCGCCACCACCCTGTCCTAGGTTTTGCTCACCCCCTCATAAAAAGAAATCAGATTTGTTTGACAATTTCTGTCCTTTCATGAATCCATGCTGTCTGTTGCTTAAAATATTTTTTTCCAGCAAAAACTCATCTCTGTGGTCTTTTATTAAACTCTCCAGTATCTTCCCAACTATAGAAGTTAAACTAACAGGTCTGTAATTACTTGGTAAAGATTTTGACCCCTTTTTAAATATTGACACCACATTGGCCTTACACCAATCCAGTGGTACTATGCCAGTCACGTGGGGAGGGTTATGCATTTCTCGCTTCACCTTACTAGCTACAGGCAGCTGGCAGGTGAGGCAAAGTGAAACTTCCATGCTGCGCCCAGCAGGAGAGGGTGTGTTGTTAGGCAGGTATTTTAACCACTTGAGTCCTAGAGTAATTGTTTTCAATTTTTACATTTTTTTTTGTTGATAGAACACAATTTGTGTGCTATCAGCCACTTCCTCAGGCACCAATAATGGAGAATGACAGTGCCGATCCAGAAAGTGACGTCACACACGTCACTTCCTGGTCTGTGCCCAGGAGGGAGGCTCAGAGGACAGATGTCTGTTAAGCTCCCACCGCCCTTCCTAGTGACACCTAAAATGTCCACACCAGGCCCGAGGATCATGATAAACATGAGGGGGGGGGGAATTGGCGACTTTGAAGCCACTACTATCACTTCCACATTGAAAGCTGAAAGCTGGCTTTACAAAAATACACACAATCTCGGCTGGTATAGTAGTCAGGAGTATGTAAAAAAAAAAACATGTCTGCAGACAGTGCTGGACTTAAAGTGGATAAAATCTAAATCCATAGCAAGTGGCTGGGAATCTGGATCCCCCATTCTAGCGCCCTAAAGAAGCTGCCTAAGCAGCGTTATGCTGGCAGTGGCCCTGATGAAAACCCTTGTTCACAAAGGTATGTAGTGGCAAAGGGAAACACTCATAGCTCGCTCTACCAAACGAGGGTAGGCTTGAGTCAACGCACACCAGAATTCTCCAAGACTTATATATTTGTATCTGACCCTCACAGACCCCCTGGAACATCCATAGACTGCTTAGGGGATCCCCAGGTTAAGAACCCTGATCTAGCCTTTTCCTCCCCTTCCTATTTATCCCTGGCCTGTCCCTTCATTTGTGAGATTTCAGTTCTGATTCACATGTGGTCATTACCAAGGGCAGTATGCATGCAAATGCGGTCTTCTAGGATTGTCCACTCCTCCAGACTGTCATCTACCCATCAAAGCATTTTCAAGAATCAGCCCATTGCTTGCATCAGGGCTACAGACTCTTGAGTGGAGTACTGAATAATGAGAAGTTTTCAGGAAGCTATGTACCAGCTGCTCCCACCAGCCATTATCTGCCTGAATTGCACAGAAAAGTAGAGAGACACGTTACTTGGTCTTAAATAAGGTATGTCATGAAAATAGAAAGGTTTTATTTAAATATTTTATCAGCATGTTGTTTAGGGTGGAAAGTTGAAACCATGAAAGGCAAATATAGATTAAACTTCAGCTTTAAGGATCTATATATTCCTTAGATGATGGGGTGGTGTGACTCAATGTTGCTGCAATGTGCTGAATCTAAACCAGATGTGCCTATAATGTGTGGACAGATACTGTATTCTGATCTTCCCTCACCTTGGGAATGCGAAAAAGGCCAGGAACAACACAAAATCATATGTTCCCATTTTAAGTGCAGTGTCACGAGGAAATCAAATGACAAAGAAAGAAGATGTGACATGCCGGATGGCATTTTCTCACATTGGGAGGGTGCATACACAATCAGCTTTATTCATTACAACTGTTCGAAAAATACGAACAATGATGTACAGCAACACAGTGACCACTCGGGTCAGTGAAATGTAATGCCTTGTTGCCTTGTTGGATTAATAGACTTTGCAGCATGCTTACTGATTATAGAATGAACCCAAAGATATTGTTTTATTTAAAACGTTTATTAACAGAAAAGCAACAGGTTTCAGGGTCTGATGCTGTACTGAATGGGAAATGTCCAAGCATCTCTGGGAGCTCAAGAAGCATTTGAGCTATGAAAAAGGCAAACAATGGACCTCTTCACAATGGAATAGAGGAGTCCTGATACATATACAATTAAAATGGCCCATCAAGTATTTAAAGTGATATTCAAGGTTTGATTACTTATTTTACAAAAATAAACATGTCATACTGCACAGCGCAGCCCCTATCCTCTTCTTCTCAGGTCCCCCGCCAGCGCTCCTGGCTCCTCCCCCTTGAACAGTGCCCCCCAATAGCATGCTTCTTGCTATGGGGGCACTGGTGAGTGCTCGCTCCCGAGCCCCGCTCAATGAGTCCATAAGACACCCCCCGCTCTTTCCTCATTGGCTTACTGGCTGTGATTGCCAACAGTGGGAGCCAATCATCCCCCTGCTGTGTCTCAACCAATGAGGAGAGAGAGACCCGGGATAGCCAAGGCTCCTGTGCATGTCGGTGGATTGAGAGGGGACTCAGGTAAGTATTGGGGGCTGAGGGGGGAGCTGAACACAGAAGGTTTTTTACCTTCATGCATAGAATGCATGAAGGTAAAGAAAACTTTCAGGCTTTAGAACCACTTTCATTTGCTATAATTGGAGCATGACCGCAAAACAGTCCATCATGAATACTGCTGCCAGACTCATCCACCTTACCAACCGTTCAGTGTCTGCTACCCCTCTCTGCCAATCCGTCCACTGGCTTCCACTCGCCCAGCATATAAAATTCAAAATACTAACAACTCATATCCACATCCCAAGCTACATCACTAACCTGGTCTCAAAATATCAACCAAACCGCTCTCTTTGGTCCTCCCAAGACCTTCTGCTCTCTAGTTCCCATGTCACCTCCTCTCATGCTTGCTTCCAGGACTTCTCCCAATCTTCTTCCATCCTATGGAACTCCCTACCCCAATCTGTCTGGCTTTCTTCTAATCTATCCACCTTTAGACGATCCCTGAAAACCTTTCTCATTAAAGAAGCCTATCTTGCTTCTTCCTAGTAAACTGCCATTTATTTCCTCCATCAGCTCATCCCCCACAGCTACTATCTTTTGTATCACTCCACCCTTCCTCTAGATTGTAAGCTCTAACGAGCAGGGCCCTCTGTTTCCTCTTGTACCAAATTGTATTGTAACTGTAATGTCTACCTTCAATTTGTAAAGCGCTGCGCAAACTGTTGGTGCTATATAAATCCTGTATAATAATAATAATAACAATAATAAATAATAAAAAAAGTTTTGATGGATAACTGGTATTTATAGTGCACATCACTTAAATTGCCCTGCAGGCTGAGAAGAAAGTAAATGGTGCTACTTATCTTAGTTTGCCAGATCATTGCATTAGTACACCATGGACTGCATCAGCTAGGCATTTGTTTCCTTTTTCATTTTCAGCCACTACTGACTTCTACTTACCCCCTTGTAAAAGCAGTATGACTTTATAAGTCCAAAGACCTTTAATTACCCTTGCAGCAGAGAACTAAGAATGTGCAGTTGTGTGTGTTCCCAGTTCTCAGACCCGCTGTCAATCAGATAATTGCGTCTAAACCTCCCTTGCCTCTGAAGCCCGATCTGTGTTCTGATTGCACTCCAGAGGCTACCGAAAGACGTTAAGAGGTGTGACGCCTCCTCACCACCTGTTTTAACCCCATTTTTGCCGACAATTAGTGGTGGACCGACAACTCATGGGGCCCCCGGGAAATAGGGGATCATGGGGCCCCTGTGTCCTTGCCCAAACTCATAAAAGCCTATGAAAAAGGTACCAGGGGCATCTCATGGGGCCCCCTAATGACCCCGGGCCCTCGGGCAGTGCCCGAGTTTCCAAATGGTCAGTCCGCCCCTGCCCACAATCACGCCCTAACTGTGTGTATTGCACATGGTTCTAGGGCGTTTGCGGCACTTCTCCATTTGCTAGACTATGTAATGTTCAGGTGAACTTTGTCTCTGAAGGAAAGCATTGTGGACGCAGCATATAAACACCCTCTTCTGCTGTCTATTGCAGCTTAAGGAGGGGAAGGGGCAGTTGGCAGGCAGTGGAAACGCAGCTTAATTGTGCATTTTTACCACCCCCCAACCACAAGTCTATACAAAGCCTTGGTCATATTTATTGTCAAGTTTACTGATGCATACCAGCACTGCTAAACTAGGTTTGGGTACCTAAGCTCCAAAAAACTCTGGACAAATTGCGGACCTCCGACCCGTAGTTGCAGATCTGTCTTTGGCATCAATACAGGCATGCACATTAGAAAGTCAAAATCCTAATCTGCATACTTTTTCTAGGTTAGCTATCCAGAAATGACTAAAGCCAATGGACTGGTATGACATCCAGGCAGCCAGCATTTTCAGGAGCAGTAGTCAAAACAGAAGTTTCCACATTCTCTCTAATTAAAGAGAAATAACAGAAGGACTGAATGGACAGATTTTCCAGCAGCAAACAGTCCCTAGGGTAGGAATATCAAACTCAATTTCATGGTGGGCCACATCAGCATTATGGTTGCCCTCGAAGGGCTGGTTGTATCTGTAAGACTATATTATTATTATTATACAGGATTTATATAGCGCAAACAGTTTGCTCAGCGCTTTACAATATAACAGGAGACAATACAGCAACAATACAGTTCAATACAAGAGGGTTAGGAGGGCCCTGCTCCATGGAGCTTACAATCTTGGAGATATAAATGTATCTACTCTTTATCATTAAATAATTGCCTCTGCATTTGAATATCACTGGTTTTAGTAATACCTTAAAGTGTTACTAAACCCACAACAGTAACATCAGTCTATATATGCAGTAAAACATGCTTGCTATACTCACTGTGAAATCTATGGGGTTAACCTTCTGCATTGTGTAAAAATAACATTTGATCCTGACTTCTCTGTTCCTCCTTTTGTTCAAATGTTCACGTCTTTCCTCCTGATAAGACAGTGTGAACCATAGGCATTTTGCACATGCTCAGTTTATTCTTTGATCTCCTCCTTCTTCTACTGTCCCCAATCCATCTACTGAAAGAACTGAGCTTTGGGGGCAAGCTGCACATGCTCAGTGGGGTATGTATCATTAGTGTTTTTTTTTTTCTTGGGAGGGTACATGTGATCAGCACAGGGCCAATCAGCACTGTCCAGACAGAGGGTCAGGGGTCATGCAGCCTCACAGGACAGTCAGAGGAGAAAACGCCTCCTACAAGATTAACCAGTGCTCTGCTGAACACTGATAGAAGTCACAAAACTGCTCTAACTGCTGATGAGAAAAGATATTAAGCAGTTTAAATTTACTAAAATAATTGCATTTCCATGTTCTGTGTACTGTGGAAGACCGGATATGGTGAATGCAGGGTCCTGGGTTTAGTAACACTTTAAGTAAAAACTAGCTCTAAAAGTAGACGTCTAGTAAAAACAATGGCAAGCAGATATTTAACTGTACAGCTATTGTACAATTTCTTAAAAAATTAGTTTTGGTAACAGGGGATGAAGCTTAGAAGCAGAAAGTGCAGGGTCTGGAGGAGGACCAGAGCAGGGTCTGGAGGAGGACCAGAGGAGGGCTGGAGTCATCTGCTGTAGTCTGCTAAATGTTGACACCAGGGGAGGTGGAGACAAGGGGGTGCTGTAGCTGCACAGAGAGGAGGGTGCTACAGCTGCAGAAGAGGTATGAGGACCACATGACATGGCCTGGCGAGCCTTGTGTTCGACATGTGTGCCCTAGGAGGTTGAAAGCCATGGTGGTACACTAAGGCTACATTCACACTAGTGTTGTGTGCAGGCGGCAGAGAGGCGTTTGGGAAGCGTTTTTACCGCTTCCCAAACGCCTCTGCCAATTCTGCACATTACAGCACATGGTGCTGTTCTAACGGGAGCGTTTGCATCGTGTCTCGTTGCGTCGCGGCAAAACGGACGCCTCTGGTCAAGTCAGGAGGCGTTGAAGCCTCCTATTCTAGTCTATGGTGCCGCTCCGCAAACGCCCGGCTGGCGTTTGCAGTGCAGTTGCGACGTGGTTGCGGGGCATTTGCGGAGCGGTAACACCATTCAAACTGTATTATAGGGGTTTGTGGGGCGTTTTTAATGCTCGGCAAATGTCTAGCAACAGCCACTAAACCGCGCATGCGGCGTTTGCGGAGCGTTTGCCGAGCGTTAAAAAAAACCCTCCGCAAACACCAGACCAACGCTTGCCAAACGCTATAGGGGCATTTGGCAAGCGTTAGTAAAACAGCCAAGTAATGTAAGTAGTGCTTATTACTTTATCAGGCTACAAGGACAAGGATATTTACAGCATGTGGATTACACATGCAGTTATCATTTAAAGGGGACATTGCATGAAAATGAAAGATTCACTTATCTTGCAGGCCCTCCTTCCTAAATAAAAATTGCACAGTTAAATTGAGAAAGAAAAAGCAATGCCTAGAAGAAAAAAGTAAAAGTTACTCATCTTACAGCCTGGTTTCTGCCCTCTTTGACTATGCAAGGGTATTGCAAAATCCTGGAAAAACGAAGGATCACAAATCTTTTGAAAAGATGCTCTATCACAGGAGTGCATTTGCCACTGCAGCCATGGGCTGTACATCCAAAAAGCTAAAATGGTTAAAATAATGATCTGCCAATGTAGCAAAACATCACAAAAGTCAGACATGCCAAAACATTTTTTAAAGCAATGCATTATGGTACGTGCATTTGGATGATATTTAAAATGAATGGCACAGCAACATGTCAGCGCATACAACAATGCCAGGCGTATAGATCAGCCGCCTGGTGCTGTAGAGTGACTAAGTTTGAAAATGTCTTGCATATTGCAGTTTTGAGAGTGTTGACATTCAAAATTGCATTTCAACATATCGACATGTTGAATCACACACGATACTGTATGATTTTCAATCATATCTGGTGCGAGGAAATGTTTAATGGCTTTGTACATTTTTTAAAAAATGTAATATAAAAATATATGTAGGTAAATATGAAGGTTTACGTTACTATTTTATATTCTCCTTTTGCACCAACAGGTGGGCACTTCTTTTCATGTGTTTCCGCTTTGTCCATACTTTTGGCTGAAATTTTTTAAACTGTTCAATAATGAGATAGTGAATGAGCCAGAGCAATGACTCGCTGCAGTCGCTCATCTCCTATCAGACTACAAATTGACTAATAATATACGTCAGATTAACAGATATACAAGTGGTTATTGATATAAAGGAACACACTTTCAGTATGCTGCCTGCAGTTGAAAAGAGAGAAGCATATCTGTTAATTTCATTTTGTCACTCCAAATTAAATTCCAGTAACATTGTTTCTATTGCTTTTCTTTACAGTTCACAGCACAAATGTTTTAATCTTCAAGTGAAAATTACATTTCTCTCCAGCCAACTATGTACATACTGTTTTGTTAAGTAAACCTAAACCCAATAATAAATGCATAATATATTGCACCTTACTAGTAAATAGATGTGGCAGCTGCATTCATTTTCTTTTTTTGAGGCTTTTTTCTCTTTATTTTCACCAGGTGATCCTACAAGTTACACATTTCTTGCTCTAGAGTGACAACGTTTACTCCCTCTACTTTATATTTGGCTAGCCATATACGTTCTGATTTCTCTAGCTCAACAGATGCCTCCATCCATATTAAATATGGATGCAGGAAATTCCAGCTATTGTACTTTGACAGCTGGCACCCTTGGCTGTCAGAATGTCCAAACAGTGACTGCATCTGAATGGCTGCAGTCACTGTTCAAGAATGAATTTTTCCGCCTAGCTTCTTTGATTTTTACATCAAAGTATCTTGAGCCATGGGGCAAATTTTGGCTGAATCAACAGGATTCAGTCGACATTTAAAGTGGTTGTAAACCTCAAATATGAAATATAAACAAAGCATATCCCTCTATAGTGTCTACTTGTCTCAGTTCAGAGCACTAAGTGTCATTTCTGTCTGCTGCTTTGTACCTCTGCTATCAGCATGAACCACTTCTGACAAGTATTCTTGACACCAACAGAAAAAAAGGTGACAGGGGAGGGAGCTCCAGCAGATTGACAGCCCCAGCTCTGTTCCTGTGTGCTGTGTGAAGGGGGTGTGCCTCTTCTCTCAAATCAGCTCTCCACCCCCTCTTTTTCTGACAATTAAGACAAGCTTTATAAATTCTGGATTTTGAATGATACAGAGAAGTGAAGACTGCAGACAGACAAGTACTACTTATGTAGGAGGATTTGTTTCAACTCTGTGTGTCACCTGAGGCCAGTCACTTCACTGGGTTTACAACCACTTTACGGTGTGTATTGGGCAGCATATGGAGGAGCAGTGTTGTATTCTAAGCCTGGGTTCACAATGATGCGTTGTGGAATTTGCAGCGTTTTCTGATCAAATTCCACATCACATCAGAATCACACCCAGTTCATGCGAACCTGCTGCGGGTGTGTATGTTAACTTAACCAATTCAATACCGGGCAATTTTACCCCCTTCCTGCCCAGGCCAGTTTTCAGGTTTCAGCGCTCTCACATTTTGAATGACAATTGCGCAGTCATACAACACTGTACCCAAACTAAAATTTTATCATTTTCTTCACACAACTAGAGCTTTCTTTTGGTGGTATTTAATCACCGCTGGGGTTTTTTATTTTTTGCTAAATTAACAAAAAAAGACCAAAACGTTTGAAAAAAAACACGTTTTTCTTTGTTTCTGTTATAAAAGTTTGCAAATAAATAATTGTTCTTCATAAATTTAGGCCAAGATGTATTCTGCTACATGTCTTTGGAGAAAATAACCCAAATTAGGACGTATGTTTTAGTTTGCAGGAAAGTTATAGAGTTCACAAACTATGGTATAGATCTGAATATTGATCAATCCTGAAGTACTGACAGCCAATCTAATTTCTTGAGGTCCAAGAATGTCAGAACAGTACAGATATCCCCCAAATGACCCCTTTTTGCAGAGTAGACAGTGAGACGTACTTCATAAGAGGCATGGCGAGTTTTTTGAAGTTGTATTTTTTTTTGTCATAATTTTTCGGAAAATGAAAAAATTAAAAAAATTAGTTTCACAATTTTTTTTTTACATATTGTCACCAGTGCAGTACAGCATCATCATGTAACTGGCATGGCGGTGTTTTTTTTTATTTTTTATTAATTTTTATTTCTTTTTTTTAAGATTTTTTTTCATATTTCCATATGACCAAAGTAGTACAATGTTACCATAGTAACATTGTACTACTTTGGGGAAGTGATCAGTATTTTTTTTTTTTTTTACACAATTTGCTTATAGCAAAGAATTACTTTGCTATAAGCAAGCATTTACCTGAATGATATCGATTCATTCAGGGTTTTTTTTTTTTTTTTTTGTGTGCTTAGCTGTGATTTGGCCACATCTAATCACATGACATGTGCATGTGATTAGCTGTGACCATTCACAGCTAGCCACTAGTATACAATGGATGGCATGAATGAAGCCATCCATTGTATACAACTGTCATGTGACCTGCTGTGATTGGTCACAGCAGGTCACATGGTACCGGTAACGGGGGCCGATACTCAGATCTGTCATCGGCCGTGTCTCGGCCAGTGACAGATCGCGCCGCTGCTCCGCTCTGCAGGAGTGCAATCTGCGCATGTGCGGTAGGACGACGCCATATGGCGTCCACCCGGAACACTGATGACATTTGCCGGCCGCCATTCGGCCATAGGGCGGGCGGCAAATGGTTAACAACACCCTGAAAGAGACCGCTAAACGAGGCGCGATGTACAGAATCAGATCGCATAGGTGTGAATACCTATGCGATCCGATTCTAGTGCGGACCAAAAAAAGGGTCCTGCACGTTTTTGGTGCGGGTGCGGTGTGATAAGAGCCATACAAAATGTATGGCTCCAATCGCACCACACACAAATCGCATGTGATTTGCACAGGAATGTGGTGCGGTTCCTGTGCGAATCACATGCGATATACCACACCGCACATATATGATCCCAGGCTTAAGACAGGAAGTGTATTAGGACTACAGAACAAAGCATAGAGGGAGGTGTTCTGTAGTCCACAGGGGTAACTTAGGAATTGCTGAAAACACTGCTTGAGATTTCAGTACATCGCCTGCACTGACAAAGCGCACCTGTCGTTAGTCGCTCAGTAGATCTGGCGGGTTGACAGTTATTTTTATTTACTTACATCATTTGTAAAGAGGGGAAATGTATATGTATTGAAGAGATTTACTGATTATGTTTTTATTTTTATTTTGCTGCTATTTACAGGCAGTCCCCAGGTTATGAACATGATAAAGTCTGTAGGTTTGTCCTTAAAGTGGAGCTCCACCCAAAAAGGGAAGTTCTGGGAAGACTGGTCCTCCACTCCCCAGTAAGGATTGCCACCTCTGGGGAGC